GATCCGAACTTGGAACCGCATTTGAGCGAGGTGGGACAGCTTTTGATTTCTTTCGCGCCACTCACCGCACTCTCTTGTTTCAGTATCAGCTGTCTAAGACTGTTATCGGTTTGGTGTTTCTACTGGCCGGCTTAATTTATACGTTCACGGCTCCACTCATTGGCTACCTCGTTGATCATAAGGTAAGCAGTTCACTATCCTGTTTACGTTTCATAAAATCTCATCTCATTTAGAACTGTACAATCGAAACGATGATAGGTGGCAGCTTATTGGCAAGTGTCGCTTTCACCGTGTTTGGTCCATCACCTATTCTGAGGATTCCGAAGTACACTTTCATATTTTACGCACATTACTTCTGAATTAGTTGCACAGAGTCTGATTGCGAAATGAGGGACCGCGTATGATTACGAAAAATTTTGTTTAAAGGCGAATGTGAATCCTGCGTAAATCATGCATAAAACAGAGTTGTTAGACTATCAAGCTAAATGATACCGGCTTGAGATGGCAGTGATGGAGATGAAGATTGTTCAAAGATTTTCAGCTGGAAAAGGTTCAAACTTCAAAATAGTCCAATTTGCACCCATTCATTCTTCTGCGTCTTAATAAAAATAAATTCTTTCTTAAGATTATATTTTAAAGTCTAGTTCAGATTTCTACGCGAAGTTAAAGCTTGACTCAAGGATCACAACAACATCTTTTAACATTTTATTTTACAAAGTAATGAGGAAGGCAAATTTTTATATCATATTTTGCAAAACATAGGGTCCCTCCAAAACGATAGAGTTTAAAAAAATTGCTAAATTTGTGCAGTAGCCATATTCGTCTAAAATATTGCTATCAAACTTTTCGCCATTATGAGGTTGTCATTAAAATTAATATCGATATGTTTCAGTCATTATATGCTATGTTTCTTATGACCATTCTGGTCCCTCATTAATGTCATCGAAAAGTTTGCTTAATATATTTTAGGCTAATCAAATGTATCACAGAGGTAGGAACCGACGTCATAATCTTCCCAAAGTGGTCAGGCATGATCTTTTAGCATATATGTAAACTTTGAAACATAAGCATCATAAGTCTTTCGCATGACGGAGTATGTCAAATAGCGCTTCATCTCTCTGGTCCTGGAGGTATCATGCGTGACTTGTAAACACCCATTTAGGTTACATGGTGTCTACAACTTTGGTTGTGGACACTTGCGTACTTATTCTCGTCGGTCACTAATCGCGGCGAGACCAAAGTTAATTATGTAGAAATTACTCTCATTTCAGTGAATTGCATTGATCACAGTTTTCATTTTTTCTACACAATGCTTCGATATTAAACTTTCGTTTAGGCTTTCGTAAACATTTAGACAAAGCTCATCCATTTATTAACCACTATCTTAAGATTTGCAAGTAAAGCAATTCAGGTTTCTAAAATTCGAACGAGAATTTTTCATTCGTTTTTCATATTCCACGATTGCCCTGTCGGTTTGACCTTTTGTAACGTGATTAATAGCCTCAAAATTACAATCGTTATAAAAGAGCTTTATAGGACACTTTGGTTGATAATACTATCGCAAGTTATTATGGGCTTCTCTATAGCTGCAATGATGATACCGCCTTTCCAGCACTGTCTCTATCTTGCGCAGTAAGTATAAAACTTCCATTGATTCATACTCTTCTACGCGTTGTCATTACAAAGGTAAAATTTGCCTTTTACAGAACTTGATTCTCTGAATTGCAGTAGCTATAGCTTCAGCGGTTCAAATACTTATGACTTTAGTACATTAGTAGTATAACTTTAATCGATAAGTTCGTTTAAGCTTTCTAAGCCACGTCCTTACAAGTTACACTGAAAAATAAATATCATATTAATTTCAAGCTAGAGACGCTGTGCTGCGTGATTCAGATTTTGAAAAATTATTCATTTATTAAGTTGAAGTCATGGTCGGGTTAAATTGCTTCAAGTATCTAATTCATTTATGGGAAGAAAACTTCTTGAATACATGTGATTCTCATAGATGAATGTCGGCTACATGTGCGAAACACTACTGTACTTTCAAGGCAAAAGTGGCACATCGTCAACCTATTGCTCGCCGCCAATGGAGCAGTTTCAGCTTGCCACGACTCCATTAAATTAAAGCACATGCAGGGCATGGATGCAAGACATCATGATCATGTTGGGCCGAACAAAGACGAGTCCAAACAGCAGCCTATAACCGTACTCTTATACATAGCAAACACTTAGACATTCGATCAGACAACACAAAGTTGTCCTTACCTTACAAAGGGAGTGGGAGTGAGGGCTATCTGTGCAGCTGTCCAATATCAGCTTTTACGTAAGCATATTCAAACCTGGAAGTAGCTAACACTTTCGTGATTTTCTTCATCTTAGAAAATTTCCTGGTGGCACTTCTACTACGTCTATCCACCGTAACGGTAAACAGCTGAAACGGTGACGAATTAAAACTTGACGCATTGATTCAGTTTTGCAGCCAAGCTAACATTCCTTTTTTACAGTTATATGGGTGTCCTAAATGAAGCACAATCTGTTTGAATCAGCCCTATTTTTAGTCGAGAAGGCTATAGCGAATCTGTTGAAACTTCAGGCCTTGTCTCAGGCGTTTTCCAATCAAGCGTTTCTTTGGGGTAAGCAGAATATTTTTTTTTCATGATATATTTTATATTTAAGAGCCTCCCTGGGTCCATCCGTTGGCGGTATGATTGTGGAATTTATCGGTATCAGGTGGGCTGCGTCCATCATTGCCTGTCTTCATATCATTACTGTAAGTTATTAAACTTAGCTAAGAAAGAGTTGCAGTCAGCTTAATAACGCTATCAGTTAGACAAGGGCTGTCTAGTATTGTCACAGTTGCTTATTCCGATATGTCCAGATCAGCTCCAGCATACACTGTCAGATTAGAGACATCAAAAAAGCGGCTCTTCGTAAAATAAATTCCATTGCAACTGTATTCTGCTTGTAACGCTCTCTTTCCTTAACTAGCTTATGTCCTTTCCAGTCAGTGAGGATATGTTCCAGTTTCTAGAGGTGGCACTGCTGCTACTCCACTGAGTTCGTATTGGACATCAGGTGAGGTTTTCTCTTGCTATTCCTGATATCCGCGGGTTGTGTTTGCATGGCGTGGTTGGCTAAAGCGTACGCATAACAACGGGAAACTATAGCATAGATTTCGAACGAACTATTCTGTCTAAGGTTGGAGTGCATATCTTGCCATTCATGTAGTATGAAAGTTTGTAAAGGTTAGTACTATCTATACGTGGAGGCAAGGAGGATGCACCCTTCAGTCAGCTTGCATGAGATGCACCGCTAGGAGTCACCTTCGATATCCCAGCCAACAGCACCCTAATATAATCGAGATATTGAAACACTGTCACTGTGTTAAGGTATCCAGGATGGAGGTAGACTTCTTCTGAATGTAATTCTTGGCAACATTACTCATTCCACAAATGCAGGAAAGCTAATCGTATCATATATATATGATAGTTTGTATCGTTGAGTTTCAGGCTTCGTGTTTAATTATATATCGATGCCAGACGAGGCGTCATGAACTTCATGAACATCACCAGCTGCAATGATGTGGCTATATTACGATGGCTCCAACTGCCGAAGAATTGAAAACTACCAGCCCACTACTCTGATCGTGGTCGCCGATTGCGTGAAGAACGCCGTATTCCAATAATTTCTTTATTGACGAACAGCTGAAATATTTCTTGCAGTGTTTTGGAAAAGCAATTAAATAAATTTTTTCTGACTAGACATTGTATAAATTCTGTTCCTTTTAGCTACGATGGCTAATATTTCAGAAAAGACGAACGTTGTACGCTTTACTGCCTAGGCTTTTGAAATTACCCGTGTACGATTTACAGAGAATGTATTTTGCAGCAAAGTTCCAATTAGCCTTACGTCTGAGCGTTAAGATAGATGTCCAATATTCAGACTTTTGTTTCACTGCTCAGCATCTGTCCTAAGCCGTACTTTCGCTACCTCAAAGTGGCAGAAAGGTGATAACGGATTCTCGAGACGACGTCCAACAGAGTCTCTAAGCTGTCACAGGTTCAACCGCTCAGACAGTCGCAGCAAGCTGTGTGCACTCTCACTTTGGTTTCTATGGAGCGCGTCCTCCTAAGTTATTGAGTCACTAAGTTAAATTGACTTAGTCCTACTCTGTTGAATTTCCAAAATTTCAGTAAACGGGGAAAGAGGGGCGAAAGCGTAACTGTGCCAAAGGAATATCCGCATCTAATCAAGTTTCTGTTTGACGTTTAGCAAATGTCAGCACACATCCGTACTTAGGGACAAACGTTTTAAACTAGACTGCTTGTTTACACTTCCTTTGACGCTATCTTGATAGTGTGACCGATCGTAAATTATAGAAATGATAAAAAAACATCTGTGATGACTAGAAGTATCAAAGAAATTTTGCCTTCGTTAACGATCTCAACGGTGAACGTCGTCGCAACACCACGTGCGAATAGCAATCTCTCATCTATGATATGGTCCACTCATGACGGAGGACACCAGCATAAGTATTCTCAGAACAGAAAGGACTCTCGGGAACGGCAAACGACCTCGTTTGCTAAAACAACCCTTCGAAATAAACTGATATGTAAATGGAAGTGTCTTCCATTCCAGCGAAGAGGCCGTTTTATTATGCTGGAAAGGCCCCCTTACCTTGCTGTCTAAATCTGTACTGACGTTACTGTATTCGAGACGGTGTTAGTTTCTGTTTCACTCAGTCAACATCTTGTTCGCACTGTATGTTTCGATGTGTCATTAATTCAAAAATTTTGGCGCCATTTACGTTTAATAAACGGCTTTTCCATGACGTTATCTTTTCTGGCAGGTAACAGAACCAAAAATGTTTACCTCGTCGGATCTTACATCGCAGTAGGCAGCTCAGTTGCGTGAATTAGCTTCCTGCTGTGTGTTTGATCGTGAAGGCGAAATGTGTTTAAAATTTTGCATTATAATATAATTCTGTAAACTTCAATGAACAAGTACTAATCAAGACAGTATAAAAATGATACAAAGTCGCTGTGCGGCTGGTTTAAAAGAACGATAAGTGTGAAATGCATAAACTTTACTTTTCAGTTACTTCACTTCAGAATGTAACTGACTTTGTGATAGACGAGTACGTGAAACTGAAATGAATTCCACGTCAGCTGAAGTGCAATATCATTCAAATCCATCGAACTTCTTCTGGTTATATGGAATGCAGGTAATAAGTGTTTTGCACGTGTGATTCCACTAAATTATTACATGAGGCTAATCCGCTCATAGTTCAGTGTCTTGTAATTACTTGAAAAATTGTTAAAATTGCGTAAGAGGAAGGGATGGCAAAATACTCTGGCGAGAGGAATTCAACATTGTAACATTCGCCGAAATAAATCACAGGATCCTTCTTCAATTAATACCAACCGGAAAATCACGAAGGAGAGACGAAACACTCACGAAGAAACGAAGAAGAATTGGGCCAGCAATAGATGAGAAGTCAAAGAATCGATATGTCAAAACTTGAAGGAGCGCCTAAAAATGTGTTCAGAGCATTCAACTACAGATTGGTAAATGAATTATGGAGAAAATAAATTAAAAATTTCGGTTGTGAAGCGAACAAATCTTCGCTCTCAATGCAGAATTTGGAACTGTCATCAAGAACAGTCATCATCATCATCCCATCATCTTCCATCGCCGCTTTTCCTTTCGGGTCGCGGATCAAGAACAGTCAAGAGATCGTAAAGGAAGTGGAATATTTCTACAGAAAATTGTACAAGGATGAAAACAGCAATAACCTAGGCGACGATCGCAAACCTGAAGATACAAATGAAGCAGAATGAAGTTCACGATATCTTTCCAAAGGAAGCGCTACCTGCAACAGAACAGCAGAAGCGAGAAAGGGTTACTGGCAAAGACGGTATTACAGTAGAACTCGTGGAATAACGCAGTGGAGCATCGACAAAGATATCAGCTCATTTGTTTTCATGCCCTCTGAAGGACAAAAGAAAGTCCCAGACGATAGGACTACCGCATCGGTAGTTCTGTTTCACAAAAGGGGTCAGAGGGTTTAAAGAACTATAGGTGATCAGTTTGTTACCAATCATTTACAAGATGTTCACAAATGCACTGAGGAACAATCCTCAAGAAAAACTGGATGCTGCACAGTCGAAGGAGCCAGCAAAATTCAGAAGAGGATTTAATATGATGAATCAACTCCAGGGGATACAATAGATAATTTAAACAAGTACCGAATACCTGCTTCTTCTCTGCTTTGGGTTCATCGATTTCGAAAAGGCTTTCAACTCAGTGTGTATCCATCCCGTACTGGATTCGTTGAGAAGCCGTGAATTTGAGAAAAGACAAATAAACTTTATCGCATTTATTTGCAAGAATGGAACTGCTAGCATGCAGCTTCGCGAATGCACCACTAATTCAATATGGAAATGCGCGTTCAGGGAGACACGAAGACTCAGTATCACTGAAGTTATTCTCAGATCGGTCTAAGAAGCGGTTTTCAAAATACGTCGCTGGGAAGACCAAGGTTAAATACGTGGACACTAATTACTCTATCAGCTGGTTGTGGATGATGTTCTGATCCTCTCAAGGGCAGCAGAAGAACTTCAAGGAAAAATTCAAGCCATGATCAACGCCAGCAGAAAGTGGAATTGAAAACAAAGCCGAAGAAGATTCAGGTCATGTTCAACAATTACGTGACTCCGCCCCCTGCTGTAGTCCTGAACAAGTGCAAAACTCTACCTATCTAAGTCAGCTCATCTCCTTAACGTAAAGAAAAAAAAGAAGAATGAAAATAGCATGAAGCACTTTTGGAAGATTGTTGTTGCCTGCGAAACTGTCTTCGTGCTTGAAACAGGAAGCATTCGATCAGTGTGTTCTCTCAATGCGAAAAGTGGAACCTAAGCTGGAAGTTATTCATAAACTGCGGATTACGTCACGCAGCAATGAAAGATGTATGCTGGGAATAATTAGAAGAAATTGGAAGATGAATGAGTGGGTAAGAGCGCAGGCAAAATCTGCCATATCTTTGCTCGAGTGAATAAGCTAAAGTGGAAATGGGCAGACACGTTGCAAGAAGAACCGACTTTCACCTGACCAGAAATACATTAGATTGGCTTAGTTGGAAAGCGAGCAAGCGGCCCTGAATAGAATCTCTAAATCGACAGCAAAATGGGCCGAAGAAGTTCGCTCGATCGAAATGGGTAAAATTGGTACATAACAGATGTTTATGGCAAAGTCTTGTGGAGGCACTCATGCATCACTGAATCGACTAATGGTGATGATAATAATGTGTTAGCTCCAGTGCTTTTTGTCATGGAACGCACCGAAATGGCGTTCCGGGAACTTTTTTCGACGGATTTTCCAAGTTTTAAAAGTAACTTTTGAAAATTTGATGTTTGGTCCGCATGGACTTGAATCACCCTGGCGAGCTTAGCAGGTCGGCCAAAAAATTGCTGAAACGGTGCATGCGTGCTTGTTAGCCAACATTAACAAGATGTGAGTTCCGGCACCTTTTCCTCACAAAAAGCACCGGAGAGCTCCAATAATTCTTATTTTGCAAGCTAAATGTGTTTCGCTTATTTCGGTAGTCGCGAAATCTAATTTTAGAGCAGACATAACTAAACAGATTATAAATATTTCAGC